AGAGTAATAATAGATAATTTAGACCCCAAAACCCCAAAACCCCTTTATCTAGATAATCTGTGAAATTCTGAAAATTTTGAAATTTGATTAAGAATTAACAGTTATACTTTCTGTATTGTGTTGCCTATCAGAATTACCTTGAGCATTAAGATATAATCTTCAGCTAACCTCGTCCTAAAAGCACTCAAAGATTAGATCGCCTTGAGCATTTTCAAATTCTTTAATTCTTTCTTCTTGCTTGAGTTCGTTGTATTCCATGGTGCCACTAACATCATTGCTTTAATCCTTTGGATGGAACATGTGAGCACATAGATCAAGGACAGTTTTCTTGTCAATCTCACTGTTATCACTCTCTAATAAAATAAATAGTTTTGATCCTTACCAGTAACATTGAGTTAAGAGTAATATTCGACAAAATCAGAAATCTTATCAACAAATTGACACTCTTCAATGATAAGTGAGAATCTCTCCTTACTAAGATAACTTAGACAAATGAGTATATGCATGAGGACTGAAGTTGGGATGTTCTCCTTTAACAGAGAGAGTAAACTTTTCATAATCTCTTTTGTGATGACAGTCTATTTTTCTAAGAATTCAAGAGTACTATGAGAGTGTAAGATGTTGGCTAAAAGAGCACTAGCAAAATCTAAACTAAAGATATGAATATCAGTTTATTTGCTCTTGTCAAGTAATCTTAAGACCCATTAAATAAGTCCTTTATTGACAAACATTTCAATTGTAGTCTCTTTAACGCTCATCTTCTAAAGGATTGCGATACAGAATCTCTAGGTAACTGATCCATCTTCTTGTTCTTTGAGGATTTCTATAACTTTCTCAGTTATGGCTAGGTCGATCTATGTAAGATAATCAACACCTTTTATGGTGCTAGCTATCACACTAATTAAAGCGCAAATAGCATGCTTAAGTCCATGTGAATTAATGGTCAAGAGATCCATTACGAAGGCATTATTCTTGTTTTAGGTGATGAGAAACATATCATTCTTGATTAACTCAGAGACTAAGTTTCTTCTTAATTCAGGGGAGATTTAAAGAGCATTGACTCTTAAACTCAGCAAGACTTCTATAATATTTTCAACATTATTTTCATCTTTAGCCTTAATAAGCTTGTTTTTGTGCTCTGACAGAACAGCTTCTGAGAATAACTGACTCTTGTCGTCCTGTTTGAGTTCGCTTAAGAGAATCTTATGGTATTTTCCTAATTAAATCTTGTAGTTTTCGATGGCTTCACCTAAATTATCAGTTGTAGCATTTCCATCCTTAAGTGAGTGTAAATGATTTAAGCATTAAACTGCAATCGCAAATATTTATCTTGCCGATTAGAGAATGCTAGAATGCTTATTTTACAAAATCTTCAAATCCTTCTCAAGTCTCTTTTCTCTGCCTGAGACTACTGAATCAGATTCAAAGAATCTATATAGCCTTGGGAATTCTTCAACACCTTTACTATCCTAATATTACGACATTGATCAAAAGTAATTTACCTCAGGATGGATGTTCATAATTTTCTTTTTGGAAGTAACAATCTTAGTTCTTTCCTCAGCCTCAAGACACTCAAGTGTACTTTGATACTTGTTAAATTTCAAGAACTCTTTGATGTAAATGTTTATTTTTTCGTAGTCTGTCTTGCTTTAATCTTGGCCTACTCCTTGTTTTTGCATATTGAAATTTAAATTTATTATTCAAATTTTATAATCTTAAATTAATCTTCATTCTTGGGGTTTTGGGGTTTTGGGGTTTTGGGG